TCCTATCTTGGATTGTGACAAGTGGTTTGTGTCTCACTTCTAGTGTCTCAGACTGCTGCTTTTCTAACTCGCTACCATGCAGTCCCATTCTCTGAAGTGGGAAATAGGAGGAGTTCAGAAGAAACCATGGAGATGTGCAAATAAAAAAAGCCCTTATGGCAAGACTTCCACCTCCCCAGTGTGTATACGTTTAGTGTCCCATCCCTTTCCCAGAAAATTGGTTTCTTACCTCCCCCACCATGGCGAGCTCTCTGATCTTCAGGTATCCAGGCTACTACAAAGCAGCATGTGTTACTTAAAAGCCTGACTCAAGTGTTGGTGTGAATGGGCAGGTGCATGTGTTTGTATGAGAAAAGTAGCTGGCAGAAGGCTGAAGTTGCTCATTTAATGTAATGCATCGACTTCCTTCTTTAGCCTCCCTGCCCAGGCACCCTCAGAAACACCTATGCATAAGCGTGAGCACACCTACATATGCAGATTCATTCACATGCACGTGGGCTGACTTCTGCAATTCCTCACACACAAGGCTACTTGCTTGTACATGCACAGTATCGCTCTTTTGCATAGCTAATTGCACCGAAGGTTACTGCGTGCCCATGGGGAGAGATTGGACCGTGTGGCTCTCCAGTGGTGGCTGAAGTATCTATTTCCTCTCCATGGAAACTGTTAACCCAGAGGAAAAGTTAAACTGCATTATCACCCCTAAAGCACCTCATCCTGACTGAAGAAAACTGTTGGCAACAGGGAAACGTCTATACCATGAAATTTGCGTATGATATTTCTGTACTTTTGAAGACACTAGGGACACCTTCATTCACAGGGACTGCTGCCAAACAACACCGTTTCCCAAAGCACATCGTGGGCTGCTACAGCTGTGGGGAGAAGGATGGTCACTGCAGGTGCGGCAGATTTTTCACTTCCAGGAGATCAGTTCAGCCTCCCTGGAGGGCTGTCACATCTTGCCCTGCACTGGTGTATGTAAAGTGAGTCAACATCCCCAGGCCCACATTCACAGCACAGACCACTATCACAGACTCACTGGAGAAGCCAGACTCACGGAGACCAATTTGAATTGTACTCTAGCTTGGTTGTGAGGTTCACTGACACAGCAGCCGGAGGATGCCTGGACCTCATGCTTGCTATGCCATACTTGTCCTGAGCCAGTATGTCCTTTCACTGCTGCTGAGGCATGTACTGCAGGTAATTTGTGAACCTGGCTTTTTTCATCTCTTGACTTGAAGTCAGGTAGGGATTTGACTCTTAAATAACCTTTTTGTGGAGCGGCAATGAGTGCCTGGCTCCCTGTGCACTGAGTGAGAGGTTGTGAGTGTTTTCTTGGAGCCTGGCCTGCAGTTTGTCTGGCCCCAGAAAATCCCCAAATCATTTGCAAAGGTTACATGTTATCATTATAAATAAAATCTTGCACCATCCCTTTATGTACACATTACCTGTGACAGATTTGTGTAGTGCTGTGCCAACACAGCATGTATTCCTGTACCACACCTTCCTGTTTCGAGTCAGACTGGATTAGGATGTCTTGGATCTCACGGAGTGGTGCCCTCCTGTGCATCTCCTCCGTGCTGTGGGGTTGGCAGAAGAATGCTATTGTCTTCTGGAGATGCATTTCTGCATGTGATATGGTAACGTGAAGGCTCTGCCTCCTCTGGCCTGCAAGTTCAGGCAGATGTGAAGGAAGAGTGGTGCTGAGAGATCATCATCTTTCATCTGGCGGTTTGGAATTACAGATGTATGCAATATGGTAAAAGGCAGGATGTTTTCCTGAGGACATAGGTTGCCTTGTAGGTTGTGGCAGTGAGGAATGGAGTGATGACGGGGTTCTTTCTACAGCATTTACAACGATAGCCTCAAGAATTGGTGGGGTTATATATTTTGTTGCTCTTTGAGTCTCTCTTTCCTATTTGTTCTTGCTGTGCATTGATGTTCCCTTTTCCAGTCACTTCCCAATTCAGTTGCTTTTTTCAGGCTTGCAGTAATAACTGAGAAGGGCTTTCCAGAAAAGGAAATATGCTGGCTTATTTAGAAAGATCCATGAAATGCCTTGTGTGGAAACAGATGTGAACCTGGTCCTTAGATACTTACACTTTTCATGATGTTAGAAATTCACAGTCTGTGTGTGTAATCAGCCAAATCAAAATACACTGGCATCTTGACCAGAGCTCCTCTGTACTTCTGTTTTCCTGAGAAGACTTTCCCATGTGAAAGCACAAAAGCTTTGATATTCCTCATCTGGAGGGAGTCCCCTATGCTTTCAGATGCTAAGATCATCTGGGGCAACGTTGTTGTTAAGTAAATCAGCTTTCTCCAAAGACATCTCAGAACAATAATTCATGTTGGCATAATAAAGACATTAAATAAACTACACAGAATAATGAGATTCAATTAGTCTTTGAGATGTTGGATCATTTCAGACAATCCAAAGATTGTAAGGTAGACCTGTGAGTCCCCCTGAAGCATCAGTGACCCTCTCAAAAAGTCACTAATTCTGATTTTATTATTTCCTAAGGCTTAGTTATTTCAGCATTCTGCGACTACTTCCCATTTGAGATTTCTTTTTTTTGAGGAAAAGAGGTTAATGTGGCTTCTTATCCCCCTTGTTTTTAGAAGTTGGAAAAGCTGTCACCTATTACTTTACATTGTAGGTCTATCTGATACCCTATGGGGCGAAAGTATTGCATCTTGTGCTATTCTTGCTTTTCTGTGTCACTGTTTTCCGTCAGAGATGCAAACGGTAAGTCCCAGGCCTTTGCATCATCCATGGGGGTTTTCTTCCTTCCTAGTTTCCATCTCAGTGACCTTGAAGTTGATTTCAGTCAGTCTAAATATTCTTGGGTTTTGGTGGGTTTTTTTTTCCACTTGAGCCAAATACGAGTAATTGTCAGCCAGTGCTACTCAGTAATATAAAAACACTGAATATAGATTAAAGACTTGCCTCTTATGGAAGACCCCATAGTCATGTTTAATCTTTTTAACTTACTTTTCTGCCAGCCCTTTTCCGCTAGCCCTCCGGACTGTGAGTATTAGGAACTAGTAGGCTTATACGAAAGCCCGTGTTTCACTGAAATTGAGTAAATTCACACACACTAAGTAGTAGTTCATTGTCAGATACTGTTATATCCCATTTACCAGTAAAAATATTTCATCTGCATCATCACCTGTTAAGCTGCAGAATTGCCTAGTAGAGCTCTCTTGAAGTGAGGATAATCTACATTAATGGTATGTGTATTTTTTTCCTGCCATTCTAAATAAATCTGTTTGTGCCTTGTTTCAAGAGGCCACTTATTTCCATGTCATTAGCATGGGCTGTTTGACTTGGCCCGTATATTTGGTGTTGGCAACTCCGACAGCTTCCTCAGTGCTGCTGTTCATTTGAGCCTAGTTAAGATATCTCCAGTCCTTCTCGTAAATACTTCACTTCCTAAATTAGTTTTATTTATATTTCGTAATCTTATTTTCTGTGAAATTGCAGTAGTCGTGTCTGGGTGCTATTAACCCCATCTAAGCTGCAGAAAAAAATTTATAATGGGCTGGGAATATCCTGTCCAGACCACCCTGTACTAATAACCTCAATTACCTGCTGCAGCAGCTCACTCAGCATTAGCTGCCACAGTCCATGTTTTGTTGTAAGCAGGCGATTTGGGAGGGTTTTACTTGTTTTCAATAAAAAATGCAAAATAAACCAACAATCTGCCAAAACCAAGTTTTCCTATCCAACTTGACTGACCTATAATTTCCTGAGGTGCACCTTGAAAATAAAGTGTCTGCTGAACATAAGGAGTAAATATAAGAAGTCTCATTTTGCAATTCCTGTGCCTTGAAAACATCAATGCATGCCTATTTCAGTCAAAATTTTGTGAACAGCAATTATGACCCATAGTCTGTACTCTCATACCAATGGGAGGGAGTAGTTGCATCTACTTAGAAATTCAAAATAACACCCAAGCCAAGGTGTTAAGAATGAACATATTATTAAAGTTTTTCCCAGGTTGTATGTTGCCCCTTTCTTATTAGGGGCAAAAAAAACCCCCAACAACCCAGCAGTGAGGAGGTTTGTCCTTAAAACTAGAGAACAGAGCAAGGGTGAACCTTAGAGTGGAAAGAAACCCCACCACCTCCAGGCCCCACAGACCTCCCTCGGTGACCTCCGACAGACTCCTCCTGTTGTGCCGGCTTGGCAGGCTGAGCCCATTCTCCCCTCTCCCTCGGGGCTCTGTGCAGAGGAGATGGCACCTCTCCGTGCTCCACGCTCAGGGCTGGGAGACAGCAAAGAATGGCCCACACAACACCTAGTGGTCAATGATGACTTTATGGACTGCTGGGAGACCTTGTGTGGGCTGGCTGTGCCTCCCTTTCCACTGGTGGGATGTCTGGATGATTTACCCCCTCACAGCCACCGTTGAGCATGGCGGGGCTGAGCTGCTTGCAGGGAGCTGGCTTGGTGGGGTGTTACTGAGGACTCCTGACCCTCCTGGAACACAGTGGCCACTATCTCCTCCAGGGGACCCCAGGCATAGGATGAGGAGGGGGCTGGAGCCTAGGACACGTGAGGGGAGGTGGACAGCAGTCTGTGTGCCCAGGGGGGAAGCAGGATGGTGCAGGGAAGCAATCCCCAGGAAAGGGGCCCTTAGCCACCCCCCAGCCCTCCTCCTTCTCCCACGGTAGGGCATCTTTCAGGCCACAGGCCACCTAGCAGCCAGAACAGACATCTTTGGCCACATGCATTGCCATCGCAATGGCCTCCTGATGTCATGAGCCACTTTACTGCATTCTGTTCCAGGCCCTATAAATACAAGGACCCTGGCTGCTGGCCCCTAATTCACTGAGCTTTGAGGCCCTTAGGTTCCAAGGGTGATTGGAAGAAAGAGATCCCACAGCAGCAAGGCTGCCCACTTTTGCGTGGGAAGGCAGGTAGGTGGTTGCATGAGAGGCAGAGGAAGAGGAGGCAGTGTCAGAGGGGGGACACCATCAGCTGCATGGTAGCGATGGCCATCACTCATGTGGTTGATGGTGTGGATCCCATGGAGGTGGATCTACCCAAAGATCCAGAAGAACCAATGGAAGTGGATCCACCTCCGGTATGGCTCACCTGGCACCACTACACCTTGCCAGGGCTCCCCTCCATGATGCCATGGCAGTGGTGTCACAGGAGCGCCCAGCTGGCACCCTACCATCGTCACATGAATTATCTGTGAGGCCAAGCCTCTGCACCTGGCCATCCTGTGGGCTCACCTGCTCCATCTCCTGGCATCAACAATTATTTTGTTGAATGCCATGGGTTGTGTGAGCCCTTCTTTCCCATCCTTTAGCCCTCCTGAAGGGGTGCCATCTCTTCTGCTCTGAGCCCCAAGAAAAGGGGATGAGACACCATGGCTTCCGGCAGGCTGCTGCGCTGGGGGGACAGGAGGAGTCCCTCAGAGACCACTGAGGTCCCTGGGGCCTGGAGGTAGGGTTTCCTCATGCTGAGGAGGACAAGGCTGCCCCATGGGTGGCTGAAGATGAAGCCAGACCCTCCGTGGTGGTGGCCAAAGAATAGCAACAGATCAAGCAAAGAAGTTGGAGGGACGGCTGTTTCTGTGGAGAAGCAGGAGACTGCAGTTCTGCCAGGAAGAAGTGCTGGCCTTGACTGTTAAGGTCCCTTCTTGCTTCTTCATTAGGAGTCCTTTTTAAGATTGGCGATAAGCAATTAAAAAAATCAACAATAAAACAGGAAAAAGAATAGTAAAAATGCTTTCCTCCTCTCTTATTTGGTACTTTGGCGACTGCCTCGGGACTCCTGTCCTCTCCTGGTCTCCCTAGCCCAGGACAGTGGTGCGTGGGCCGTGGGCCTGGCCCAGGGCCTTCCAGATGGTGAAGGGGCCAGGGCACGCAAAGGCAGGCTGAGGGAACTGCCTCTAGTCACGAAGGTGGTGAGGCACTGGAACAGGTTGCCCAGAGAAGTTGTGGATACCCCATCCCCGGAAACATTCAAAGCTATGTTCGATGAGGCTTTGAGCAACCTGATCTAGTGAAACATGTGCCTGCCCATGGCAGGGGTGTTGGACTAGGTGATCTTTAAAGGTCCCTTCTCACCCAAACCATACTGTGAGTCTGTGAGACAGGCAATGGTATAATGTGCTGCTGTGCTGGGTTCCCCTGCATTTCTGTGGCCTCTGCTAGCAAGTGTCTGCAATTGCCATCTCCCTCTTAGGCTTATGTTCAGTTTATAAAACAAGCTTGTACAGCAAAACGAACCAATGAGTCAGCTGTGGATCACTGAATCACTGCTTATTCTCAAAACACTAAGCCTGCATAATTTCTTTTTCAGTTTCTCGGTTGAAACTCAAGCCCTGTGCCTGTAGGATGCTTTGGCTCTGAAGGACATTTTTTCAAGCATTTATAATTTGTCTGATATAATTCACTATTCCAAGAATCCTTGTGTTCCTTCCCGCTGATTTTGAGACAAGCATCCTGACAGCAGCCTTGGCATTACTGTTGCCAACCACTTCATCTTTCGATTTTTATTTTTCTTTTTGCCACATAGGTTATGTAGACCCTTTTGCTTAAACTCAGCAGGTCTAACTCTTCCCAAGCCTCAGGTGATGATCCTCTAGGACTGTGCCCCTTCCCCAAGTAAACATCTGCATGGATCTAAGTTCATAGAGCTTCAGTGTCAAACGCAGCCCAAATGGTGGTCTGTGGAAAAAGGTTTTACCAAGATGATGCTTGGTTTGTCTGCACACACTGGCCAGGCCACCAGCTGCAAGCACCTCAAGCACCAGAAGTGGTTTGGTATCAGCCATCATTCTCCTTTCCCCTCACAGGCAGGGGCAAAACCCTCTTTATAAAGGTGTTTAATTCTTGAGGGCCTAAGCAATCAGGTTTGTGGCACGAGGAGCATGGCGGGGGTTGCTTCATCACCTCGTTGTGCGCAGGTGCCTGGGCTGCTCTGGTTCCATTGCCGATTCCCGGGGCCGTTCCTGTTCCAGCTCTTTTGCAGCTACTTCCTTAGGGCAGGAAGAGCTTTGTAAGGTGTGTGAGTTGAAGGACAGTTATACTGCTCCGGATTGTGCTATGTTTGGAGCTTACTTATCCTTGGATAGATGTATTCTAATTCTGTCTCTGCTGTTTTGGTCTCCTGCCTCTTCAGGGAATTGGAGGCCCTTTGTGAGATCAGGGTTTGACAGGCTTTAACCTTGGTAATGGGTGTTTTCCTTTCCTCCATGGACACTGGCTGTAGCTGATCATGGGTATTTACTTGCCCGTGTTGTTTACGTGCTCCAGTAGTGGAGCTAAGATTGCCAGCATTCAGCCTGAATTTAATTCGCTTTTCCTGCCAATGCCTTTTCATCCATTGGCAGTTTTCCTGTTGCTGGCAGGGTGCTGCTCACCTGCACCCAGTCTGCAGCTAATAAATGTCTCCGCCTTTCATGTTCCTTTTTGCTCTTGTTGAGCTCTTGTCTCCTTCTCTGCTGCTAGTCTGAAGGGGTTCTGATGATGCTAATGCTGTCCAGTAGTCATGCTCTGCACTTGAGATTACTCTGAACGTGCTGCTGTTCCTTGCAGATGTTGCAAGCTGTTTCCAGGTGCGTCTCACTGACTCACACCACTTGCAGCAGTGGGGAGGAGGGTTTTTTGTGTGTGCTGGTGGGGCAGGGGAGGATGTGCTCCCTCTCTGAACTCCTACTGTCCCCCTGCTTCAGTCTAGCTAGTATTATTTCAGTTTTTCTGTACTGTCTGATCGCTGTCTGCATTCCATCAGCTCCAGCCATGTGGCCGATTTCCTTTGCTTCCCAAATTGTAATTGCTTTGCCAATTAACTCTGGGTTTTCCAGTACTCTCTCTTGAGTGCTTTGTGCCAAAACCCTGTGCTTCCCAAATGGCATGATTAGTTGGGTTTTTTTTCCTAAACTTGGATCCTTTGTAAATTCTGTTTCCACCTTTTTCTTGTAACTGTGTTTGAATTAGATATCTGACATAGGTACATCAAGGAGGGGAAAGAAATATTTTAGCAAGTCTTGCAGCTCATGCAGAAGTAGAGGAAGAAAGAAAAGTGAATGACAACACCAGCAGGAGGGTAGAGGCAGTATTTGGGAATACAAATGACATGGATTATTTAAGAAAAGTAAGACATGGCCAAAAATGGGGCATAGTGAGACGAGTGTTGGAGCAGAGTGGTCAGAAAATGCCAGTGGCCACTAAAAAGTTGAAAGGGTGAAGGAACTGAAGGCTAAATTAGAAGCAAATACTTGGGATTTCAGTGGAGCGGAGAGGTTGGAATTGACAGTCTCGGGTGCAGGGATCAAAAAGAGGGGAGATGTAGAAAGGAGTCAGAGGACACAGAGTAGACCACTGACTCAGAGTTTTAAAAGGGGTGGAGAAAAATGCAGGGATAGTAATTACAGAAGCTGGTGGGGACCATAAGCAGTTCTACTGAGATGGTTAAGAACGTATTTGGTGTCATAAGAGTGTTTGGTGTCTTGAAAATTAGTACCACAGTGGCTTGTTACTGTAGTCAGTGTCTGCCAAGACATCTGGTTTTCCTGTGTAGAGCATTGTGCTCAGTGCTGCAGCTGCTCTACCCGATTTGCAGAGTGTGGTTACCTGTTTTGTCTTGGGCATCTAGCAAATGTTCAGCACTTTGCCAGTTGTTTCTTAGAAAAAGGATTTGTTAATGTAGTCAGGAATTTTTCACATGTTCCTCTTTATTTATGAAGGATGTAAAGTCCCTTTTCTCTAGGTACAGTGAAAATCAAAGAAAAGATGCTTGGTTTATTCATAGTTCTGTGGTCCATAGTCGGGTAGCATTTAATCCAGAAACAGTCTAGATTTGCTGAGGTTCATGCTACCTCTGCTCCTTTCATAATCCTCAGAGCTCCCTTTCTGTCTTTCTTTCTTTGCCCTTTTGGGTTTTTTCCCTTACACAGAGGGACAGGCGTTTGCTGGAACCAGTGCAAGTTTGCATCCAGGCACAGGGGAAAACTCACCTCGCTCAATTCCCACCCCAAGCACCAACTCCCACAGCAGAGACTGCGACATTACAGCTGTCAGCCTCAGCGGTGAGAGCATCCTGCTTCCAGCGAACCATTTCATAGTAGGCAGCATGGTGGAGAAGGGGCCGTTATGGGAGGGAGCCGGACCAGGCTCTCGTACAAGTGCTGTTTGCGAAGTGGCATGGCACACTGGGGTCTGAGGTGCACCAGCTCCAGATCGGTCCAAAAATATGTAAAACACATGGGATCCTATTGTGAGTTTGCAGCCTAAATTATCCCTCTGGGCAGACAGTGAGCCCTGCGAGTGCTGCTGGGTCTGGGAGCAGATCTGCTCGGGAGCCGCAATTTGTTCTTGCTCCGTCTTTGGGTGATGGCAGAGGGATTTGTTTCAGCCCGAGTCAGTGCAGTTCCCCCCTGCCCGCCACCGGTTTATATTGAGCTGGCAGCGTGTGGCCGCGTGGGCTGTTTGAAGGCAGCATCTCCCAGCCATTACCTCGGTGCTGCCCAGCTTTCCATAGCGGTTGAGCTGCTGCTGCCTGGGTGGAGAGCCGGAGGCTAAAATTAGCAGGGAGCTCTTCTCTTGCCAAACACTGCGTCTGACCCAGCCGAGCCTGGCAAGGGGGAGAGGAAAACAGTCTTAAATTTCTCCATGCAGAGTGCCTAGCGTGCCTGCCGGCCTCTCCGGGGTGTCGTTGCGAGGGGTGGGGATGCCTCGCCAGGGGGGTGCTTGGGGGGATGCCGAAGCAGTGGGGAGAGCAGGGCATTGCCAGGACAGTCCCAGGACATAGTAGGAAATCCTGATTCTCAGAGCTGTGTTTCTTTCTTGGTCTCCCTTTGAATATCATATAAACAGTTAGGGAGGCCAATTCTTGCTCCTGGATGTCTTTAGAGCTGCAGGCGTCTCCCTGCTTAGGGAGAGGTTTTCTGGGCAGATGTGGGGTTTGGCCACTGTAAGAGAACTAGTGTGTATTCCCCATTCCCACCCCATCAGAAGAAGCTGCTGAAGATTTTGCTGCCCCCAGGAGCTGCCCACCCTAAATGAGCACTTGTTCACTCTGTATTGCAGAGTGGGCTCCAGGAGGGGCTGTGGTCTGGTGGTTACAGCA